TCTTCTAATTGCATCTTTCTCTCTCTCTGTGAGTTTTTCAGATTGAAATATTTTCATATCAATTCATAGAGCTCTTTCGTAACATTGTACCTCATACTTCCAAGTAAAAGGCACGTTTCTGGCTAATTAGTGTATTTACATTTTTTTATATTTTCTAGGTAATTAACAGTCCAGTTAGGCTGGTTAATGTGTCAAATTTATGCCTTCAGGTCAAATTTAATCAAAGTTTTTCTCCCAACATGCTGCTGCAGGTATTTTCCTGTGAACATTGTGATACTCACTGGTAAAGCTGTGCTTACTTGGCAGCCGTATTGCAAAGAATGCAATTCAATTTAACCACATTATTATATTTCTAAGCCGTGTTTCATGGAAAATGTTTCTTCTAAAGTCGCTTCTTCACTTCTTTTCCTTTCTTCTTTCAGATAAATTAGCTTTTGTCCTCTTTGATAGCCTGTTTCCCATAGACTGATCTTATTTTGTGTTTATATTTCAGTTTAAGCTTGTCAAAAAAAAAAAAAAACAGGTTTCTTCTTAATTAAAGTTTACAGTAACCCCAGTAACTTGGCACTGTAAGACAGTAATTACTGTATAATTGCAACTCAATTAGTTTCAAGGTACAGCTAATATTTAGCAACTTACACATGGAGACTACTGTTTCATGTGTGTAGAAACAGGATTACTGCCTGGGTGTGAGTAAAATCAGCCCCTCAGGTGACAGGTAGGGAGTTTCCACAAGTCTTCAGCTACCTGACTGGCACTTCCGAGATGGCAACAGCCCCACTGCATGAAACCAGTTAAACTGTATAAAACCAGCTGGACTTAAAATAAAACTAGAACAAATAGCTGCTGGGGACTTCGTGTTCCAGAAGGGAATATTTAGAAACACGGGTTTATAAGCTATGCTTCCAGTAAAATGCTGTAGATATGAAAATGAAATTTGTTTTGGTTGCCGAGGCTTTGATCATGACGTGTTCTAAAGAAAGCAGCAACTAAATGTGTGAAGACTAATGAGTCAGTGGCAGGTTTTACTGGTGACATTTTTTTATGTTTTCAGTGCAAAAATGTTATTAAAGGTTAAATTAATCATTGCTTTTGAAAATGAGTGTTAAGACTTTTAGACTTCCTTTATCAATAGGAACAGAGTTTTATCCGTTTCCAGTAGAAACTGAAAAACTCAAAATTTCCACAAAAAAAGCAGAAAGGAAGTTCGGATGACTTTTAGTGAAGCACTCACAGATAAAATAAATAGAATGAAGAGGACTTTATGCCTTATTAAAGAGTGTCTTATTTTAGAAGTATGTGTTGCTTTGGACGCTCTACTTCTCTACAAATGCACATTTATTGAGATTAAGGGTGTGGAATTCATTGTTTGGCTTCTGGACAAGGTTTGCTTTGAAGTCACCTTTTCTAAATATATTTTTTATATAAAATTATTAACTGATCAGCTGTGAATAACAGAGCCTCAATTAGAGCTGAAGATATGTTTTTATACGCCACTGATAAATGAGGAAGTTATGTCCCCTTGAAGGGATGTTGCGCCTCGGGGTTTCCCCACCGGTTCTTTTCCTGGGAGCAAGTTATTTACTACTCTTAACTCAAACTGGGTAAAACCATATAAAAAAGGACTATAAAAACAGGAGTAAAAAAGTAACAGAGTTTATTCCAGATCAGGTCGTTACAGGACAGAGAAAATGCTTGGAGCTGCACAGCTGTGGCCTCAAAAATCACGTCCGCGAGCGTCCGGCAAAGATTGAGCCCCGAACAAGGTCATCTCCTGCTTCTTATAGCTCATGAGTCTATGTGTTG